TTTTTTTTTTTACACATGGATTTCGAAAACAAAAACAAGTTTTTCAAAATTTTGTTTTTTTAAGTTTTCAAAATTGGCTTAGATTTTAAAAAGTAGGGTGAAATTTGTATTTACAACTTAATTAAAAAAAAACAAAACAAAAAGCGAAGCCTTAAAATTTGAAATTCTTGTGTATTTTTCTATGGGTTTAAATTTTAATTATATATTTATAAACTAGTTAAAAAATTTTTAAAAAATATAGATTAAACAGAGGAAAATGCTAAAATCAAAATTGTAATTTAACCTTAAAAAAAAAAAGAAAAACAAATTTTGTGTGAAACGAAAGCTAATGAAATGAAGAGAAGAAGGGGCTATAAAAGAGGGGAAATCGGGTGCAATGGCGGGAACGGTTTCCATTTGGCCCAGATTGTACCAATAACGAAGACGAAGAGATTAAGACTTTCGACATGGAATTTTCGGAGGAGAAGCTCCGAGAGCAGAGATCGCCCTGCTTCCTAACCCTGAATACGTTTCTCGATCGAGCAATTTTCCGATGTTGAATCGGCTGAACTGGTATGGTTTAATTTTTAGCGTATTTCCAGTCTTCGTTATCTAATCTAATCGCTAATTTACTCAATTTCTCAGTTGAAATCGCTGAGTTAGAGCTCTGAATCTTAGGATTTATATCACTCGATCCTTGTCTTTTATACTGATCTTCGTGTGTTTTCTTCTGCGCACTGTATTAATTATGTGGAACTGGAAGTACTATTAATCACAATTTTCGGCGTCCATTCCTTGTTCCGAAAAAGCACATTGATGTCATTTTCTTGAGAGTGAGCTTCAAAGAAATTTGGCTTAGCTTTTGTCTGTTTCCCAATTGTTATTATATTATTTCAAAATTTCCGTCTGCGTTTCTTTCTTTCGTTTTCTTGGTTTGCTGTATTAGTCCAAGTTCTCTTTTTCCTTAATATTTCCTCTCATATTCACAACCATAACCTTTTTTTTTTTAAATAAAAAATGTCTACGAGGGTAGAACTGTTTTTGTAGTCTTCTCGAATAACATTGTCCATCTTTGCATATAATGACTTTTAACTCAAAAAATTTGGTTTATTAATTGAAGTAATTTCTATAGTTACGTTATGTGATTCATTGAAATATTAAGCGCTTTGATATAATTGTTACCTTAATAACTTACATTGTCATAAGGCAATTGAGTTATATATAAGTAGGCAGGGGAGAGTAAGAGGTTTTTTAGGAAGGTGGCAAAATTTATATTCTATTTTTTCTACTTATAATCTTTTAATTTTAAAAACTTAGAAGAGATAAAATTTTGTTAATTATATGTATATATATTTTTTTTWAAAAAAAAAAATTTTTTAAGATGAACTAAAAATGTAGAGTGGATTTCAACGAGTTTTCTCATTACAAGGTTGTTTGAATAACTTACAAATAGATTTTTTTTCGATAATGTTTATTTAAAACATATTAAAAGAAAATGCAAACTTTAAATTTATTGTTTATTGAATTTTTAAATTTTAATTCGATAAAGTTTAAAGAAGAGAAAAAAGAAGAAAAGATTAGAAATAGAATGGAGTCAATGGACTTGTTGCAAGTCTTTTGGGCAAAAAATGTAATCTATTACTTTTACATAGCAATCAAGGTTGACTCCGGAAGATATGAGAATTAGGCTTCGTTCAGCCGTCTGGGGCCCACTCCCGACATAGAAAAGACACGAAGCGTTTGTTTCCAAAATAAAATAAAGTCTTTTGGAAGATCACAATGTTGATTTAATTAATGCAGAATTTATTTTCCACACGAAACCATCCATTACTTGTATACTTTGTCAAGTTGACTTTTCGTAAGCCATGTTTAAATACCAATAATTTGTTGTTTTATTTTAGGATTATGTCATATAGTTGATTTTTATTACAAAAAAAAAAAAGTAAAAGGTAAATTAGATTTAATATATGTTGGATTCTGGTAGATCGATTCATTCCAAAATGTGCACCAAATTCGAATATCAAAGGACCGGATACCTATAAAACCGAACAACCATAAATCGATGGACTTCTGTCACACTGTTCCGATGCCTAAGTTAACTAGGGGAGAAATCACTAATGGGTGATTCCCTACCTATTTATAGTCTATCTTCCTCCTAGGGTTTCACGAAATGCCAATCCTAAGTTTGATACACGTGGGCCTATAGACGCCTCCAGCAGCTGTAGAGGAGCAAGGATGGGACTCGGCCTTGTGCCGAGCAGGGGTCGGAATCAAGCCCTGCTCAGTCTCGCCCGTCCTTCGCAGTGTCTTGCCTGGCTTAATCTCTCATTCACTTGTCGTTTTTTATGTCAGAACAAAATATATATATATATACCCTTTTTTTAGATAAACTTAGATTTAATATTAATTCTTAACGTTACAATTATCTTTTTCTTTTATAAATAAAGGGCATGTGACTTTCTTAAAATTATGTTTTATATATTAAATTTCTTTTCTGTAAAATTTTAAACTTTACTATATATTTAGAAATACAAGATGTCTATTTTATGTTATTTATGTAGAGTCTAACTAAATTTTTATGCCCATTTGAATATAATTGAGTGGATAAGATGCTAAACTCCTCATCTCTACTGGTTAACTCAAACAATTAATTCTTTTGCTTTTTCCTTTTCTTTAAAGGACCTTTTATTTTTATTCTATTATTTTTTAACTTATTAAATGTCGTATTTAATTATTTTATTTTTGCATGAAATGAAACATGATATCTCGGGTCCTTTTCAACATGGCCACTGGTAGAGAAAAAAGTCCATCATTTCACTATTCATAATCACAACCATGCTTTAATTTTGTTTGGATATAATAGTCGTGAAGAATTTTCTTCGTCCCATATATTCTCACTTATCTCTCTTTCCCTCTCCAATTATTCATTCTTCTTCTCTCAATTTTGAATTTTGTTGCTCTGTTTCTGTTTCTTTATACAACTTTGCTGGTCATGGATTTGAAGAGTGCTCATATTTTTCTTGTTTGTGGGTTGCTGGTTTTCAACTGTCTCCTGGGATTTGGATCAGATGCCCAACCTTTGCCTGAACAAGAAGGCACCATATTATTATTGTTTTTGTTGTTTCACACACACACACACTCTCTCTCTTGTTGTTTCGTTTGTTTCTTTCTGTTATTTTATTGCGAGAATATTCATTTGCTCGAAATTGCTCTGTTTTCGTGCTACTCTAGAATTGCGCCTCTCTCTAGATTTTCAAAAAATTATTCTAGCCTCGTTTCAATTTGATCCCTATAATTTTAAAATTTTTAATGGTCCGTAGAGTTATGTTCCAATTTGATCCTATGTTGTTTAGTCACATCTAACAAAAATAAATAGAATCTTATTGAAAATGAGAGCCTATGGAGTGAGATTCAGTTCAATATGAAATTATTCTCCTACACTCATGTTGTATTTAATATACGGCAAAAACACCTTTAATTGATGTGTAAATGAGTGGATGTTTTTTTCTTCATTGAGTTAATTGTGTTAATGGATTGTATTAGAGTTCAAGCTACTTAAGAAATAGGTGGAATTTTAAGTAATAAGTAGAAAAGAAAGAAGGCTTTGGGACGATGGTGCGATTCAATTCGACCCACTTTTAAATTATAGAATCAAATTGAAACCGTACCCAAATTATAAGAGGATTAAATCAAATCTTTTAAAATTATAAGACTAAATCAAAAATAAGCTAGAGCTATAAGGACCGAATTTGTAATTTAACATGATGCGATAACTATTTTATTTTAATCGAAAATTTCACCTCATATATTGAGGAAATGATCATGTGAATGAATATGACAGTGAGAGCCCTTCAAGCAATATCTGCAGCGCTAAAGAACTTAAACTGGAATGTCCACAAAAATTCTTGCATTAATGGCAATGGGTTTTCGAATGAAGTTATGGACGGTACCGATGTCATCAGAGAGGTGAACTGCAGTTGCTCCACTGTTTCTTGCAGCGTCACCAGCATGTATGATTAAACCTTATCTTTCTTCCTTTTTGTTAATATTTATAATTAATAATTAACTTTTTTTTGTTTACCATACAGCTTGCTAAAAAGAGTCAAACTAGTTGGAGTTCTACCCAAAGCATTTGCAGATTTGACTGAATTGCAGAAGCTGTAAGCAGTGCTGCGCTTGAGAGTTATTTTTGACAGCTCAAAATCACTTTTATTTTTCTTAATCACGTTTGACAAATTAAAAAAATTGATTTCTTTAAAATCATTTTAAATTGATTGATCTATAAAGTATGATAGTGATTTTGAAAAATTATTTATACTAATCTCTTTTTTCAAAATCTCCAAACACACCCTATAATGTATTCTACTATCATTTATTTCCTATCACATCATCATCGTTAAAAATGGTTTTGAACAATTTGGAGTTTAACAACGTCGAAGAATTATTTAGAGAATGAAATTTGTAATGTGATACGAAGGATTACGAAAATAATTTCTCCATTAATTCCTCCCTAGTCCCTCCATATCTATTACCATGAATGATGAACCCAAAGTTTAATCGTAGAGTATTTGATTTCCTTTTAATTTAATGTAAAATTCTGTGGATTGTCTTTTGTCCATTTATTTTACCCTTCTTTATAATTTTCATATGAACTTACCTTAGACACCTTTTTCTTTACTAAACAGAGATCTTACTGGCAATTTTATATCCGGATCAATCCCTATGGAGTTTGCTAGCCTTCCTCTTGTTAGTCTGTAAGTTGTTATCAGTTGATGTTGATATTAATTAATTAATTAGTTTATCGATGGCCTTCTGATCGTGACATTATTTCTAATTAATTACGTGCAGTTCCTTGCTGGGAAACTCGCTTACTGGTGAGATTCCTCCAGGAATTGGTGATATTGCTTCGCTTGAGGAACTGTAAGTGTCATTAAATTAAACGTAAAATCAAGATATGAAAAAGAAAGGTCTAACCCTTGTATTTATTTTCTATTTTATAATTTAATAAAAAAAAGAATTCTTATTTTTATTTTACATATCCTTAAAAAAAAAAGAAAACTAATTTCATATTCATCCGCTCAAAAATATTAGGAACTTCGATTAATTGCTTTAATTAAAAATTATATGTTTATTTTTATTTGAATATATTTATTTTAGTGACAATTTTCTTTTAATAAATTCACATTACATTATTCAATTATTTATCTAATAAAATAAAATTATGATTTTAATAATAAAAATTATAAACGAATTTCTGCTCCGATATTTTTCAGTCTAGATTTTGGGAGGTTGATGGCTAAAGAAGACTATATTTGCATTTATTTAATTTACAGGGTCTTGGAAAGCAATCAACTTCGAGGAAATCTTCCTGAAAGCCTCGGGAAATTGGGCCGCTTGCGAAGGCTGTAAGATGATTTTTTTTTTTCTTTTTATAATTTAAATATGACTATTACCGGTGATACAACTAAAATCAATATTTATTTTATGTAGACTTCTTTCTGCAAACAATTTCACGGGGCCGATTCCAGAAACATATGGAAACTTGAGGAACTTGACTGAATTGTAAGTTACACATAAAGGTCATTTTAGATGAACAATTTTTTTCCCCATAATTTCTGAATTTTACATGTTCTTGCAGTGGGATAGATGGAAATGATGTGTCAGGAAAGTTTCCTGAATTTATTGGCAACTGGAACAAGCTTGAGAATCTGTAAGAAGTAGATAGTAGTATATATCTTGCTTCCCAAAATGATAATTATTACAGGCTATAAAATTCTCTCTTACAAACTTTTAGCAATATAATTATAGTCATACCATTTTTCACCAAGTATATAACTATAATCATTCGTTGCAGACATATTCAAGGAACTTCTATGGAGAACCCCATTCCTCGTGCTATATCCGAGTTGAAAAACTTAAAACAACTGTGAGGAATAGTTTACTTGACTTCGTTGCTAGTTTAGCAGTGACACGTGAAGAATGTAGTATGTATATCGATTAAGGCCATGAAAAAATTTCTAGTACTACGAGAGTATCTACTTCCTTTATTCACATAATCATTTTTTCTTTATGGATAATTATTTAATGCTGGTAGGCCCCACTCACTCTTAAATTAAATGACTGATGTGGCTAACAATGAACGACTTCCCTTATTCTCAGTAACGTTTCTTGTTTGCAATAGGTGGATAACTGATTTGAAGGGACCGCCAATAAGGTTTTCAAATGTGACGAATCAATCGACAAAATTAGAACAATTGTATGCAAAATTATAATATATTTTCTTTATTCATTATGAGTTCAATCCATTAGATTGGTTCCAACTCTTTTCTATTAATCTTATCTTGCTTTTCTCCTTCTACAAAGGATCCTAAGAAATTGCTTAATCGAGGGTGAAATTCCTGAATATATTGGACAGTTTAATGCATTAAGTATTTTGTAAGTTTCTGAATAAATTCATTTTCATTTTGCATACTTACGATTACGATTATTATGGTGAGTTGATATCTTCACTTGACAGAACTTTTTTTCAAAAATAGAGATCTAAGCTTCAACAGATTGAGTGGTCCAATTCCAGAGACATTTAAGGATCTAAGAACTCAATTCTTGTAAGTTAATACTCGTGGGGGATTACAACACTCGTTTTCTTTTTTCCTTTCATACTTATTACTTTCCCATGACATGATTACTTGATGTAGGTTTCTGACCAACAACTCATTAAGTGGCCAAGTACCAAGCTGGATCTTGAACAGCTCAAGGGACATGTCAGTCTGAACTCTATAATTCTCACTGACATTTGGTCACGCGAATTTTTATTTCTTCACATTATGTAATAGTTCTTTTCCATCATGGTTCATTGCAGAGATTTATCTTACAACAATTTTACAGGGCCGTCCCCTGTCTCCAGTTGTCCACGGTCTAATAACGTGTAAGCCACATTATATCTACCATTTTCTGTAATAAAATTTGTAATACTTGTACTTGACATTTCCCTGATATGTTTTATATCTTTCTTTTTTACAGGAACTTGGTTTCAACTACAATGAATGACACGTAAGAGTCTTGATCTACCGCATACGACACAACATTGTTTTGGATTAAATTACAAGTTTGTTCTCTCAGAATTGTGTCTAATAGATATCTGAATTTTAGAAGGTGTCTAATAGATCTTTAAACTTTCATCCTTCTATTTAATAGATCTCTAACTTTAAAAAAATCTATTGGGTCCTTGAACTTTTTGTGTCTTGACTTATTAGACATTTTTTAAAAGAGATCTATATAAAACTTATTAGATACAACATTCAACTTTGTGTCTAGTAGGTCCATAAATTAAAAGTTTAGGAATCTATTAGACACAACATTCAAAATTAGAGACTTCTTATACAACTTCAAAAGTCTTGTGACTGAACATGTAATTTGAGCTTTTTTTTTTCCTTGTTCCTTCTAAACTTCATGTGTCATAAGTTGCAAGTAGGTTCTAAAGTATCTAATTTGTTGCAGTGCTGCTTGGTGCCTGAGGAAGGATCTCCCTTGCTCGGTAGAAGCTCGATGTAAGCAAATATGGATCTAAGCCGGCATGACTTTTATTTTAATTTCACCTAAAATGCCTAATATGAATGAAGATGTATTCTTCACTTGCATACCTATAATCTTCCATTTATTTAGCTGACGTGGAACTTTAGTCACATTCTCAACATGGTCTAATTCCTAATCGAACTATTTGTTTGATACATGGTAACAATTACTCTTGCAGTTCATTCCTTGTTCATAAATTGTGGGGGATCCAGTATGGATGGTTATGAAGAAGATTTGAATCCGGAAGGCAGCTCTGAATTTTTCTCCTCTCGGGAAAGATGGGCTTACAGCAGTACCGGGGTTTTCTTGGGAAATGAGAGAAATAAGAATTATATAGTAACAGATGACAAAATGTCAAGCAATAGCATCTATGCAACTGCTCGAGTCGCACCTATTTCACTCAAGTACTATGGGCTTTGCTTGCGGAAAGGAAGTTATAATGTGAAGCTTCACTTTGCTGAAATAATGTTTAGTGCAGGCCAAACCTTCGGAAGCTTGGGGGAGCGCATATTTGATATCTCAATCCAAGTGAGTGGAAAATGCATTGTGATCTTCAAATGCAGATTCATTCATTTTACCATTTTTCTAATTGAATTCATTCTACAGGGAAACTTGGTTAAAAAAGATTTTAACATAATGGAGAAAGCTAGAGGTGTTGGTAAGAGCTATATTTTGGAAAGGCCTGATGTTGTAGTAACTGGCAGCACTCTCGAGATCCACTTATACTGGGCTGGTAAAGGAACTACAGTCATTCCAAACAAAGGGGTGTATGGACCTCTAATATCTGCGATTACAATCACACCTAGTAAGCATTTTCTTTGTTAGGCTACATTTGATAATGATCTCATTCGGCTGAAAATGTTTTTTGAAAAGTAGTTAACAAAACAAAGAAGCACATAGGTGAAAGTGGTATTTGTAAGCTTAATTTTCGAAACTATAAAATCAAAAAACAAATGGTTATCAAACAAAGCCTTAGTTGAACGTTCTAATTTTTTTGGTATGAAATCTTTTAAGAACTTTCTTGGACTGCATATTCTGTTTCAACAATTTACCATCTATCCTTCCTCAACTGTTGTTATTGTTATCTTCTTCTGCTGTTGTAGACTATAATGTGGGAGGGCTATCTCCTGGAGCTATTGCTGGCATTGTTGTTGGTGTTTTTGTGTTCGTTGTTTTGGTACTGGTTGTTCTCCGAAGGAAGGGTTACTTGGGTGGGAAGAAAACTGAAGACAGTGGTGAGATTAATTACAAGAGTGATCTATTTATGTACACCTGTTCCCATTTGTGTAGTCAACAACTCTATGTCCTTTGAGAGTTTTTTTTCTTTGTTACAGAACTTCGGGACCTAAAATTACAGACAGGTTACTTCAGTTTAAGACAAATCAGAGCAGCCACAAACAACTTTGATGCTGCAAATAAGATAGGCGAGGGAGGTTTTGGTCCTGTCTACAAGGTTACCTGTGGAAATCTTTCTATCCAATTTACTCTGTGTTGCATCATTGTTTGATATATGGCCCTTCTTCAATATAAGATGACTTGAGTAAACAAAAAATATTTGGCAGGGAGTACTGTTGGATGGAACTTCGGTTGCCGTAAAACAGCTATCCTCTAAATCAAGGCAAGGGAACCGTGAATTCATCACTGAAATCGGCATGATATCTGCATTACAACATCCGAATCTGGTCAAGCTTTATGGTTGTTGTATTGAAGGAAACCAGTTATTGCTTATTTACGAGTATTTAGAGAACAATTGTCTTGCTCGTGCTCTTTTTGGTAAGTGCTTTAGATATTTCTTTCATTATTAACTTGTTTTAGTTTCATATAAGGTTAGGAGAACGGTGATTTCATTTCATTATTAACTTCTTTTCAGGCTCGGAGGAGAATGCACTGCATTTGGATTGGCCGATAAGAATGAAGATATGCTTGGGAATAGCAAAGGGATTGGCTTACCTTCATGAAGAATCTAGATTGAAAATTGTTCATAGAGATATAAAAGCTACCAATGTATTACTTGATAAAAGTCTGAATGCCAAGATTTCTGACTTTGGATTGGCTAAGCTTGATGAAGAGGAGAACACCCATATCAGCACAAGAATTGCTGGCACAATGTCTGTTCTCTATCTCTCCTCTCTCAATTGTTTATTGTTTAGTAGTCTTTTTCTGGTAATTAAATTTTTGAGTTTTGATTTCATTTCAGAGGTTACATGGCTCCTGAGTATGCATTGAGGTGTTATTTGACTGATAAAGCTGAAGTTTATAGCTTTGGAATCGTAGCTCTAGAGATTGTTAGTGGGAAAAGTAACACAAATTACAGGCCAAAAGAAGAGTTTGTTTATCTTCTTGACTGGGTAACTGATGGCTTTTTTAGTTCTTCCTTCTTTTGAATCATATTCTTAGAGTCACCAGTTGGTTCTTTTCTTTTTACACATTGGATGTTGGTGGTGCTCTTTACAAAATGAAGTTTAATTGTGTTACGTGTGCATTTTCAGGCTTACGTTCTCCGAGAGGAGGGAACTTGTTGATCCGAGTCTCGGCTCACATTACTCGAAAGAAGAGGTGACGAGGATGCTTCATATAGCTCTGTTATGCACGAACCTGTCTCCTACTCTCAGGCCATCCATGTCTTCCGTGGTTAGCATGCTCGAAGGTAAAATTGCGATTGAAGTAGCGAACATCAAGTGCAACACAGCCGACCGAGATGCAAGGTTCAAAGCTTTCGAGAAGCTATCACAAGACAGCCAAACCAGCATTTCAACATCTTCGCAAGGCATTCAGATGCAGAGAAGCATGCTAATCGATGGACCATGGATTGACTCATCATCTACTTCTACCCAAAACAAGGACGAGGCTCGAGAGTATTCTTCAACCAGAAGTCTTCTTGGAGATTGAATAAAAGCAAAATATCAAATTGGTAGCACCAACTTTATGGGTTTGTGATTCAACTTTTATTTATATACTTCAGAAACGAACTCAATAAAATAATTTAGAAATGGTTTCTTATTGCAAAGGCTAGAATCTTGTCTCATAGATTCTTCATGCATATATTAGCTCATGAGAATGCTCATTTTTTAGTGATCCACTGGCAAGCATTTGATTTCTTCATTTCTTTGAAAAATTTTAAGGTGGCTTCTCATATTATTGGTATGTCTGATCGTGGACAGAATAGATCCTGTTCAAATAAGGTCGTATAGTTCAATCCCTTCATTAAACTTCACGGACAGAACGGGTCTTATTCAAGTAAGGTCGTATTGTTCATCGGTTTCATTCCTTCCATAATTATTACATAATTACAGTGAGTAGCCTCTTTTATCCTCCTTGCAAATATTAAGAAGAGATTCAGACTACGAACCTTACCTTTATCTTACACTATTTCCATTTTCTAACTGATCTCTTTCAGTACATATGAACACCCAACTTTCATCCACATAATCTTTTAACTGATCTCATAAGATTTCATATCCTTCCTTCAGACACTTCTGTCTAGTTTTATCAAACTTAAAATATTATATGGATGTAAATTTTTACAGCAAATAACGTGTTGTTTATGGGTCGTTATATATTAATTTAATGTACTGATAAGCCTAACAACTTCGTTAACACTAACAATGCTCTAGACCTACCAAACTCTTAAATCTGAAATACTTTTGTGTATTTTTTTTTCATATATCAACGAAAATAGAAGCAGAAATTGCTTTTAGAAGAAGATAAGTAAAGAGAAAAGGACATGTCATAATTTACAGATGATGGCTTAACAATAAATATTCACCCATCGTGTGTAAGTAACAGAGAACAGTTTTGAGACTATATATACACTTACAGCTACCAAAAACGCATGTTCCATTAGATCAAAACTCGATCCCAGTATTTATCTGAACCGAGAATGAGGTTCGACGAATATTAGAGAGCGGAGCATCAGCTCTTACAACTATCCCTGAACTACCAATGTTACCATTCCACTTCGACCTGCCGAGCTGGATGCCGAGCAAGAAATCAAATAGAAGGAAGAATAAGAATTGGCCAACAGTGAAGTATATTCTAAAATAAATAACTAAAAAAATCCTATAAATTGGCATGACCCGCATGGAGACAGAAAATCAAGTGTTAATACTTACCGAAATTGAAGCATATGCAGAAGGATGGGCAATGGAAGAACAGCCGCACACGACATTGAGATGTTTCTTCACTGAATGAACAATTTCTGCACGAAACCCAGGATTGCTTCCACCAAAAGTGGGACTTAAACTGATCATTATAAAACCGAATATGAGATACAAAAACAACATCTATCACAGGAGAAGCGAAAAAGTTAAAATTAAGTGCTCCTTTTACTTTATTCTACAGGAAGGATATCAAAGAAAAATAAGATGTGGAAACAAACTTATAAATAGGAGTCCAATCTCTACAAATGTGAACTTATAGATAGAAGTGCAATCCCTACAAATGTCAAGTTAGTCTCAATTTGCACTGATTATGATTAAAAGTAAAAATTATGTGAGGAAATAACAAGACAGAATCCACGTAACGAAGAAATGTTAGGGTTGGGTATTGAAAATATGATAAGTAAGAATTGATCTTCTGGGAAAATTTCTTATACAGAAATTGAAGCAATGCAGAAAATTTCTAGTTGGCGTAGCCCTATGGATGGATATCTCAATGCTTCCCCCTGGAATACTTCGTGTAGTCGTTCGTTGGAAAGCTAGATTCATCTGGAGAAACCAAACTAGAGGTCTAGAGCTTTACTGCAGCTTCTTTGGATTGAAAAAGAAATTTAAAATATTGGTATATATGGTTCTACCTTATTTTAAGATAGTAAAAATAAGTATTGTAGTTGGAGTGCTCCACACACAATATTTTTTTATTTTTATTTTTGTTGGTAATTTCCATACCTTCTTGACTAATAAGGGTTTGTGTGCATTTATATAAACCTCCGGTTTTTCATCCTGGTTTTTGGGGTTAACGAAGTTATCCGTGCGTCTTACTAAAAGTAATAATAAAAAGAGAGAGGACAGAAAGAAATGAAAGGAACATGGCTCTTCTTGGTTAATTGGCTATGATGATTTCCATAAGAACACAATAGTAGAGAGGACAGAAAGAAATGAAAGGAACATGGCTCTTCTTGGTTAATGGCTATGATGATTTCCATAAGAACACAATAGTACAACCTATAAAACATTTACTGTTCAAGTGATGTCGTTATGATAATTTCCATTAGAGCTTAGCACTTTGCAACATGAAATTACAGTCTAATGTTTGGATTCTCATTTAGTTACCATTCATCCTCATCCAGTCCCAAGGTGTTCAAAGAACTTTATAGTAAAAGAGACTAACCCTCTATGAACCCCCTAAAACAAACTAAACTAAAAATCACAAAGTTACTACTAATTAATTACACTACATCCATCAGGCTAGGAGACAGCATAATAAAACATTCAAGATTTGGGTCATTTTCCTTGCTTGCAACAAATGCTAATAGATAACATCAAAGTCCAAATTAACATGTATTATTCTAGTCGGATCAATATAGGTAACTCAACTTCAATGAATAGCATTTATACTAACCTGCATTGGACAGTTGGTTTTACCAGAACACCTGATCTCTGCCAAGCCAATGATTGAGCAAGGTCCAAAGTAAATGATTTGTCAGGCAATTGCACCATTGGTGTTATTCGGGTTCCCCACTTATTCTAATAAAATCAACCAACACAAACAAGGCACCAACTTAGCAACACTGGAGTCCATATAAGTTCTTTTGGAAATTGAATTTGAGTGCCAATTTTTTATTCTTTTTCTTTTTTCAAGAGAAAGGAAATGAGGACATAACTAACCTTGCACGAAAAGCTGAATCTCATTTCTCCTGGATATTGACCCTGAGCTTGAAGGAGGCCTCCACAAAAGGGCAAAAATGCAGTTGTAGTTAAACCTTCACCCGACACATAAGTCAACTGCCCGTTGGGGAACTGTAAATCAACAAATGACTGCGAGGAGGGGGAAAAGATTATGTTACTCAATTGATCCAAAGGGTATACTCAATAAGAAAACTAAATGATATCATCTTTTTTAGATAAGATAAGAAAACTAAATGATATCATCAACTTACACAAGCTGGGGGGTTGAGACAAAGCATTGACATAAAGAGCCACCTTCTATGCTTTGACCAGACTGCTGGACATAGAGAATGCATTCCATTCTGATGATTAATGAAGTAATAATATTAGAAGTTGGAATAAAGTAGGGTTAATATGAAAATGACAGTTTAATCATGTGTTGTCTCACGAGAACTTGAAAGAGGTGAAAATCTAAGTGTTTCTAGGTCTCATATTATATAATTGGAATTCAAAATCAAATAACAGTATTTCCAAGTCTCATATTATATACATTGCATTGGAGATCCGAATTGCCGAGTTAAGATATATAGTATCTTCTAACTAATGCAGGATATGATTAGACTATACTAAGAAAACACTACATAGAATTTACAGAGAAACTCAAATCCAACATTCATATCAAATAACGTAAATTGCAGAAAGGATTTTAAGACAGGAAAGAGCTCACTAAATAATGACAATTGACAATCATATTTTTTTAAAAGGATAGCTGCTGGTAGCAATGTGGAGAACTCCTTAAATAGGGCCTCCAACAAATAAGGTTGTTCTGCGTCTAACTAAATGCTTCATGAAAGCTTACTAAACCTAATATCTCCTAGCAGCAACAGCCAAACTCTTCTGTTTGTTTAATTGAAAACAAAACCATTCTTCTCCACATTAACTCACACATGACCTTTTTTTTTTTTAATAATGGGGAGTCGAAGTTCTGCTTCCCTATACCCAGGACACTCGCGCCTACCCCATATTTTTAGTATTAAGCTCTGCCCCTCGCAGGCAACTCACACATGACTTCAATGTCAAAAATCTGGCACATGGTCTTATTTGATGCCAGGCCACTAGCAAAATAAAGTAGGTATTACCTTCTTATCATAACCATACCAAAGCAGGTGTTGCTTTGATAAATGAACTGGCAAAAGAAGCGTCGAGTCACGAACAAAAAGTACTGGCCCAAGCTGCAGCAGAAATAATGATGAATTATCATTTCCAGTTGCGGTTCTGCCATGTGATGCCTCTACTCTCCATAAATCTCCTCTAGCAACTAATGAACTTTCCACATCTCGTGATCTACTATCATAGGTTGAAGAAATATTGATTGTGCCCTACACCCAATGAATGATAAATATTAAAGTAAAAACCAAATAAATACTCCAAAAGAAAAAATAACCCTCAACCTACATTCCTCTATGATTTGACACCACCAAACCCCTCACCGCCCATAAAAATACACACAACAAATAAAGACCATGGAATTATAGGGTTTGAAAGAGATAGAACATAGATGCACTAAGTTTGTTTCACTCACACGACACAACATCATTGCAACCATATGTTCTGTTATTGACAGGTAGAAAACTATTTTGAAATGATTCCTCAAACAGCCTGGTCTTGTGTGAATGAGTAATACTCGGTCATAATATTTCCTCTATGAACAACACAGTTGTAATCTTCTCAAAATTGTTTTTATTCGTTGACGGTTGATCACAAGTTCCTGATTTCTTACCCCATAATTGTTGTTATTATTTGTGTCCACATAATTAGAGTTGTTAAACATGATGCACTAAGTTTGTGGCTAAGCAGCAAACTGGGTAATATATAGGCCACTTGAGGGCAGTGTGTTAATAACTATTTAAAGAAGCTATTTGGAAAAGGAACTCCTGATCAATTAATTTAGCAGACTTTTGGTGTAAGAGAACCGTGTGTTTTGTTATAAGCCATTTATCAACTAAAGATAAAGATTTTACACCACAATAAGTACATTAAACAGATCTCTAGCTAACGAAGGGTAAATCATCTCTGTGCTAGTCAAAATTGAACAACTCATCGAACTGCCAAAATCATGTCTGCAATTTTCAAATCAAATAAACATTGATCAAACTGCCATACCTGTGCCCTTCCCAGATGTCCTATAGCCCTCAAATCAAAGCCAGGAGTTTCATCATCTACCATCCCATCTGAAACACCGTCACTGTCAGCAAGTTCAGAATTACGCAAGCACTCTGTTAATGTTCCCAGATTCCCTTGAACAGTGACTCCCATATCATCCCTCTGCCAACTTTTATCCAGATCCATCCTAATGGATGCTATCACATTCTCCTCTTGCCGAAATGGCACTGGCAGCTGTCGGAAAAATTGTTGTACCATACCATTCAAACAAGCACCAAAATCAGCGCCAGCTTGTCCAATCCTATTACCAATATCCAAAATCGATGTGACCCCATTAATTCCTGAATTATGGACAGTCAACCCATAATCCTTAATACCAAAACTCTGTCCCGGAAATTCAATATCAAAGAGCTTAGACTTGGGGGGGTTGGGCCAAGGAAAAGAGGGCGGCGCTATGTGAGAATGAATCAGTCCCGTGAATCCTTGAGCAAGACGGTCGGCCAAATCCTGACCATGCCTCTGCACCTCCTCCCACGCTTCAAACGATCTCTCAACGGACATTAGGTAAGGAATCCAAACCTTATTTCACGCCGACGACCTCCTCATACGAAGGAGAAACAAGCTTTTTTCCTCGACGAACTTGATAGAAGAACTCGAAGCTTCGCGATCGACACCCGAATAGAAAATCTATAGGCAAATCAACTTAAAAATTAAAACAGAAGCAGTAGGGAAAAAAGCACTTTACTTAGGGCACACCAACAAAACTCCTCAGAAATGAGTAAACATCTCGCAACTCCAGCTCCGCACTCCAAAGCAATAAGATTCAAAAGAACCGCAACTGATCCAATTTTTACCTCAACGAAAACCTCGAGCCGAACTAGTAGAATTGCGGTCCCGGAGTTCAGTTTCCGAACAAGCCGAGCTCAAGATTCAACATCAGAGATTGAGAAGAAGGGCTTTTGGATTGCGAATTCGAGAAGCTGAGAAGCATGAAAAGTGAAGGAAGCAGACGAGAGATTTGAAAGGAAGGGTTCTTGGTTCTTGAACGCCGATTTGGCAACGCGCTTCATCTTCAGCCTTCAGGGGATTCTTTGAATATATATTATTATTATAGAATTGTTGTATAGCAGCACGTCAGCCATTGAAGCTGTGGCTAATTCTAAAGAGCATCTGGATTTTTTTCGCACGGAGAAATGCTACACTCACGTGTCGCGGACGCTGATTTTGTCACAGCCAATCATGTGAGATCTAGATTTAGGTCTTTTTTATTTTTTCATTTTGGGTAAGGACAAAGTACAATGACCGCGAGGAATTTGGTCCGATCCTCACGTGACAACTTCGCTAACGCTTACGCGTGCGACAATTAGTGAGAGATCTTTTGGTTTTCTTAAACCTCAGCTAATGTGAGATTAGTGGTCTTTTCGTTTCCAATGGTTTTTTTTTTTCTAATATAATTTCTCTAATTGAAACATTAGACAGAAATTTATTTTAGTTGTTCCAAAAATAGACGAACCACAAAAAGGACTTAAGTTTTAACAATCGACTGCTAAGAATGAGATATGCTTTTAGTTAATTTTATTCCTAAAAACAAAAGATTGTTCTTTAAAGGGCAAATTGCACCAACAAAAAAGACTGAAAAGAGAACATATTTTGACAATCCAATACTAAGATATGCTTTTAGTGAATTTTATTCTTAAAAACAAAATATTGTTTTTAAAACAAACCAATGTTATAATTACACCATAAACTTTTAACTTCTTTTTTTTTTTTTCAATTTCCACAACTCCTCATATATCTAATCCAAAATTATAAATATGATACCATATTCTCACACTTCTATCAATAAGGTAATAAATGTCTCGCCTATAACATTGTCATACTTACAAAATTTTATTTTATTTCATTTATGCTATATTTACAAATATGACAAAAATTATTTATCACCCATTACAATTCTCCTAAAAAAAAGTTGCATCCATGAATTTTGATGGTAAAAGTCAAACTCTCTCAGATCAGCCATCCTTCAAATGGAACTGTTTGAGGGGGTGGGTTCAATGGTCTAAAACCAATTCCTAACTCCAAGATTTAACTGTTTAGGTACATATAAATTAGAGTGACTTTTCAGGTTTTATCCCAATGTGTCAAAATGAAGCAAACGAGGCACTTTAAAATCACATATGTGAATCAAAGAAACAGTGTTTACTTACAAACTCACCATGCTGTATGAACAAGCTGAATGCACCGATAGTTCCACAGCACATGGAAGACCAATCCAGATTTTTCTTGAGATATTACGAGATTGATCAACTCAACGAGGATTTTTGGCATTTGGTTATAGAGAACTTGTATAGTTGCCCCGAGAACTAGTTCCTCGACACGGTTGGGCTTAGTTTCAATATCTCTTTCAGCAACCGGCTTACAGAAGCCTTCATATCTTCGGGTATTCGAAGGTGTTTCGGTCCTGCATCCAAGGCATATTGAGTAATAACATTCATGACGACTGCCAAATTCAAATTCTTGGTGCTGCCATTCCAAACACTTTGATTCACATACTTGCATGAGTGTCTCAAGATGCATTTGTGACAAACCTGCGGGTAATATGAAAAGGAGGAAAACAAAGCCGAAAAATTATACTAGATAGTTAAATGGTAATAGAAGAAGGAAAGTAATATTCACGAAGCTTTTGCTTACTGTGTCTTCTTGGATTCCAAAAAATTTTCGCAGCCTCTTAGCAGAAAACACATCTTTTCTTGCAGTGGATGGGCATCCTAAGAGAGCAACCTTTCTCAAGTCACTGCCGGACAACCATCTGAAAATCCCAAGACTCAGTGTTCAACACATGATACAATAGGGATGTCTGGGTAATGAAACACAACTGCCAGAACCAGAAAGATGGAATGGAGAAATTATTTCCTTTGTAATCAGAATGTTAGATTCAATAATTTATTAGGAATATTGCACTGAATACTCTACAGTGGTTATTTGGCGCATCGACATTTTGTACAATTTCGAATTATCGGTAGCACAAGGCTTCGAGCACTTTATCAAGCAGCATGAACAAGAGCACGCAAAGACATGCACGGATATCATGGAGGGGAAGATTATGTTCAGTCAGCAGTACAATTAGCTAAGGTTTGATTCAAGTTGGTTTTGGATGAAAATTGTCAATGAACCCAAAAGAGACGTGAAAAATAAAATAAATTGAGGAAACTGGACCGACTGAACAAACCAACGTCTATAAATCGATCAACCCAACAAAAAACATCAGTTTTGGACAGTAACAGCACCAGTTATTCCATACACTTGAATATGAAAATTGATCTTTTGATGTTGACAATGATCCTTCTTTTGTAAGTGAACAAGAAATATCTTTTTATAGTATTCATATCCTAGCCTCCAAAGGGCAGTCCAGTTGAGCTTGGGGTCTTTTGGTTATATTGACTTAGAAGTCTCAAATTCGAACTTTCTGGTGAGCTTAATACTAAAAACTCTTGATATCTCTCAGGACCGGACCTTGGGGCGGGCGCGAATGCCCCTAGGTATATGGGAGCAAAGCTCCAACTTCCGGTTATCAAAAAAAATAATAATAATAATTAAAAAAATCATATCCTAACTACCAAATCAATGTAAATAAGGCTAATGATTCACACTATGATCTTAACATGTACGATACAAACAAAATATATTAGGAATAATCTAAGGCCTCAGAATCTAATCACACTTCTTACGTTGAAAACCGACATGAAAGGACCCTCCATCCTCAAACCAACCGAATGACCTCAATTTCTTCAATTCGTCTTAAATGGCAGAAGATGCATATGACCATGTTATAAAAAACCCAAAGCTAGAACTAAGGATGGTTTCCCCATGTCATTGCATAAGCTGAAAAACAGATACTGCTGGATGTTTTGATTCATTGTAATCTATTCAGGTAGTTTCATGTCACCATTTGCTATTAATTGGCATCAATTCACGAATTAAAATAATGATAATTTTCCCCCTCAATGACGTGAGATATAGTTTTATCGTCCCTCACTCGCAACATTTTCGATTTTCTTATTCTAGCACATCATCCTTTATACTTCATACTTCATAGATCAGATTGAAGGTGGCAAAAGGCTAAAAGCTACCCAGTTCATCAAACACATGATCTCCTCTCCCTAATTCTCAAAAAATTACACACAAACGAAACAGATATATCTACGTTAAGGCATTAACGACGAGAAATCATAAGATTAACCACAGTTACAGCTAAATTCTTACTTTGCAATTTCTTGATTGTCTCTGCCAAATCTCTCAGCTGCAGACTTGATAAAATCCCGTCCATGACGATACTCAAAGTAGCTAAGAACCAATTTGTTATCGGGCAAGAAATTCGCATAACTAAAATATCCTTCCCCGTACAAATGCCTCACGAGCATCTCTATGTCCGGAGAAAGCTCTTTACGGACCAAAGCGTCCTCCCTCATCCTCACCTCGCGCCTCTCAGTGCATCCATTTTGTTTGGAAACCAATACATATAAGCTTCCAGGCTTCCCCTTCCTCGTCAATTTCCCACTACCTCCCGAATCCGCTCTCAACCACCCCGCTCCGCGCTCCGATTCCCCCGAGCTCCCTTCCAGCACATTGTCTTGATTTCGGCGTTCGCGCTCGCGACATTCCGCACTTCGGTTCGATCTTACGGCTCCATCAACCACAAAATCCGTACGTATATCCCTATTTACGTCCACGATTTCTGGTCCGATCCCCTCTTCGATTTTCAACGAGAAATTTCGAGTTCTTCGAGAAATGGAGGTAAGAGTGTGAACTTGGAGGGAATGTGAAGACTGTGAACAGAAGAAATGGTATCGGAGTTTCAGATAGGAATCGATGTGTCGGTGAAGAGCTCTGAACTGAGACATAGACAAGAAATAGCCTGTGAACTCGAGGGTTTTGGGGTTTACGCCATTGAAATGAAATTACAAGGGCGCCATTTTATAGACGATATGAGCAGAACGAAAGGAATAGTTAATACGTAAATTAATTTCTTAATTTCTGATTTTAATTATTCATTTTTAAAATACTTAATTTTAGGTTTAGATAGTATTTTTGTCACCATACAACAGGTGAGGTGGCGCATCGAATTCATAACTCTTGATTGTGATATATACTAATTACCGAGCTATACTCTTGCTTTGACACTATTTTTATCATTAGTTTATTTTCGTTCATTTTTTTTTTATGGTTCATTTAGTTTCAAATTATCTTTTCTGGTTTTAATAAAGGCATATCATCTTTTGTTTATTTATCCATTAGTTCAAGTCATTTATCTCATTTAATTCTCTTACTAAGCATGACAGCAGGATTATTGACATTTGAGCTCGAGCTCTAAGAAAAAAAGTACAACAAAATAGAAATACAAGATACAAGGTTGAACCATTAGTACTTTTATGTTTATTTTAGGGGTGAATAAAAAATTATGAAAATCGACTTGAGGACTAAAATCAATCGAACCAAACATCAATCTTCGCGTCTGATGAATGGTTTGATCTATGTCAGTTTAAACTATTCAAAATAGACTAACAGGTCAGTCTAGTTGAAAAATTGTATTGACTTTTAATTTTATTTATCCTAATTCTAATCTTATCAAGAGCAGGTACGAGGTAAAACCAACCGTACTAAGTAGATCATCTAAATAATTAAGAAGACCTATTCGAAGATAACAAGTACTTTCATACTCAAATTAGTAGTAAGAATTTAATTTATAGCAATTTCAACAAACTAGTTCACGTCTGTGGGCTGTTGCTTTTAAAATATTGTAATTTCCCTAGGTGGCTTATTATTATAGCTAAGGAAGATGACATTACCATTCATGTGGTGACATTGTGAATTTTAAAGCTCCATATATTATTAAAAAAATCCATATTTTTATTTCTTATTTTGCATTTTTAATTTATTAAGAATCCATAGCACATAGTTTATGTTTATTTTTTCAATTCTTTTAAAAATATTCTCAAAATTAAATAGAAATCTTGGGAACATATAACAAAATTAATTTTGTTGTTTCTCGTTATCATTTTCGGTTTGTTATAAAACATAAATAAAAATATTGTTTTATAATTTTTTTACTTATACAATAAATAATAAATTAAAAATATATATATTAAAAAAATAATAAAAACATAAAATTTTGAATCCTTATTTTAAAAAATAAATTTTCATATAAAAGTTTCACTTTTTGAATTTAAAATTGTAGAGAACAAAAAACAATAAATGGTTAAGAATGAAAAATATTAAGTAATGCAATGTTATTTTCTTTATTAAAAATGAAAAAATTGAGACAATAAAGAGGGACATTAATAAATGAGTTTTAAAACAAACAAAATTATCTAATATGAACAAACCTTTTTAAAGTCGTGTACGAAAATAGATTAGACGATGAGTTTTTCAGTAATATGATTAATAAAAATTAATTAGATTAGAATTTATGCAAAAATTTAAGAACTAATTCAAATAAAAAGAAATAAACAAAAATAATATAATTAAAAATGTAAAAATGTAGTACTACTCAAAAAAAAATTATAACTTTTTAAATAGCAATAATTAATTTTAAAAAATAAAAATATTAGAGCTTATAACATATATTAACCTGAAATAAAGATTCCAAAATGTACAAAGAAAGAATAATACTTTCCTACTACCTAGACCTGACCACGACGGAGAAATTAACAACTGTTTGATAGTTTTTTAAAATCTCTCTTCCCTATCTTTTCTATTTTCTCTCTTACTTGTCACCTAGAGTTATAAATAAAGTATTTTTATTCAGAGAATATAATAAAATATTTATTGCTAGGGTAGAATAAGGTTGCAACCGACAAAACGAGACACAAACACACAAACAAGGAGAATGTCAGAGCGGGCCTAAATGAGAGAAGAGACTCAGAGAGCCGAAGAGCGAACTGCACCATAGGACCCAACCAACTAGAAGCTGGTACCTATCCGATTAGGTCTTGGTCAACTAGTTTTTGGCCGACTAGGTCCTAGTCGATTAGGTCAGACTAAATGGTCTCGATTGATCAGGTCCTAACCTACACCACTTCATGCTTATTTTCTGCGTATAACCAATAAAAATTGATAATGGGTTTGACTTCTTCACCCTTGTTCAATCCGATTGTCGACGACGTCATCTACTATTAAAAAAGAGAAGATATCCTTACCAACTCTAAAATTCGTATAAACCCTAGGGTTCTCACATCTATCAGGAAGAGAACCCTCGTGAAAGACACGCTACAAAACTTTACTCTTTGTTATGCTTCACATAAAATTTCAATTCTAACTTATTAGAGTGTGTGTGGTTAGCACCACACCGATGTGTAATTATTTTATCTTGCAGATTTCATCGATTCCTTTTATTTTTGTGTAAATTTGGTAAATCTTAAAGGCCAAATTTCCATATCAACATTTATAATACTGGAGTACTAATACCTAATTTGACAACTATTTAATTTTTTAAAAATAGAATATATATATATATATATATTCATGTTTCTATATCGTTTATAAACTATTTAAGTGTGGTAAATAAAAAAAGAGTGCCGATGATATAAGTGCCAAAGTATTTTTGAAAGACTAAACCAAAATTCAGCCGAAAAATAAGAAAGCCATCACCACAGAAAGTTTGACAGGAAAAAAAAATAATAGTGTTGACCAGTAAAGTTGTATAATTGTGCGGCGGTGTGGACACGTTTCACGATCTGCCTTCCACGTAAGCAAGCACGTGCCACGTTCTCATTTGGCCGATCCACCGTCACAGAAGCAAAAAACCAGGCGCGCGCACACAGTTGTAAACTTGAAAGCCGCAGTTTTGCTCAAGGAAGCCGCCGCACAGCAACCGTGTCTCTCTCTCTCTCTCCGAAATGAGCGACGGCTTCAACTTCTCCGGCTTCTACGCTACCTGGTTAGACCACCTCCACCGCCTAATTCACCAGCTCTCCGCCGCCGCCGCCAAATCTGGATCAATTACCCAACAAACAGTTACTGATCACGATCACGATCACGATAATAATCATAATGATTCCCGCCACCTTGTCCACACCGTCATGTCCCACTACTCCGACTACTACCGCGTCAAGTCGGTCGCGGCCGAGCGCGATCCTCTCTCGGTCTTCTCCGCTCCTTGGGCCACCTCTCTCGAACGCTCCCTCCACTGGATCGCCGGCTGGCGTCCCACCACTGCTTTCCACCTCATCTACTCCGAGTCCTCCATCCTCTTCGAGTCCCGCATCGTCGACATCCTCCACGGCCTCCGCACCGGCGACCTCGGCGATCTCTCCCCATCTCAATTCCGCCGTGTCAGCGACCTCCAATGCCAAACGGTATTCTCATTCCATCCTCCTTGATTATTCCTTGGCTTTTATTAATATATGTGCCGGAAAGTACTTAGGTGCTGATTAATGAAACTTCTGCTATTGAATTTTAAAATATAAAAAGTATAATTTTTTTTTAACAAATAATGAGTGGTAAAAAATTGAGACGGGTGCTCACACGGCCGATACATATTTTTCATATATATATAATCGTTCTTCAAATAGATTATGGAAAAGTAAGAATAGTTTTTATTTGTTTAATACGGTTAACCACCATTGAATATTTGACCAATAAAAAGAGATACACAAAAACATCACCTGGATTAAACGAAACGGAGACATACAAAAACATCAAATATTTAATGCTGGTAAGAACTCTAGCGAGGTGCCATTTTCCTTTTGATAAGGAGGATATAAACCGGAACTCTAGCGAGGTGCCATTTTCCTTTTGATAAGGAGGATATAAACCGGGTACATCCGGTTGGTGACAAAATCCAGGAATGCACAAAAAATAGAAATGTGGAAAACAAATGGGATTCAATAAACAAAGTTGTATTCTTTGTATCAAGTGTTTTATTATTTGTATTAAGTGTTTTGACATGTGTTAATCTCAATTTAAAAAAAAATTCAACAGTGCTTAGCATAAAATTTTTCAACTTCTGTAGAATTATATTGATAAGTTAATTAGTAGTAGTTGCTGGTCCATATTGATAAGTTAGAAGTAGTTATTATCCCCAAGGGATAATTTGGGTGGCTTGGGATCTCAGATTTGTAAAACCGAAATTCTATGGAACAGTGAATTTAAAAATAGAATCTCTAGGTGATCAATTTTAGAAATTGGAAGGCATTTAGGCATGTTTTGGGGGTGGCATTGCCAAAATTTTTATTTTCTGACCACAGTCAAAAATACTTTCAAAATTTAAAGTATAGATTAAGGTATATCAAAATTAGTGTGTCACATTGTGATGTGATAATACAGGTGAATGAGGAGAATACGATAACGGAGGAGCTGTCGGAGTGGCAAGACGACGTGAGCGAACTGGTCGGAACGCAAACGGAGCTGGCCGGAAGGGTGGAAGGACTGGTTAGGATAATAAAGAAGGCCGACGATCTACGGCTGAGGACCGTCCAGAAGGTGGTGGAGCTACTCACGCCCAAGCAGGCGGTGGAGTTCTTGGTCGCTGCCGCCGAGCTCCAGTTCGGCGTTCGGGGATGGGGATTGAATCAGGACCGTCAACGTGGCAACGAATGACGACAACTAAACCGAATAAACAGATTGTCGCCAAACAGTTAAGTTGTTGTGGCCAGCTACTAGCTATGCTTACGAGTTCTAAAAGAAATGTCATTATCTTTGATTGCTATACTTTTAAAATGTCATTTTATATTTTTGATCTTTGATCGTTCATTTTAGATCTCTTTTGACGGGAATGCAACATTTCATGAAATGGGTTCCTCTCTTGATATAATGATGCTTTGTATTAGAGTTTAATTAACAAATGAATTAAATTCTTGTTTTATATTCTGTTTTATGTTTATTAGTCACACTGTATACGTGACATCTAATTTTATTTTAGATTGACCTACAAGATAAAATTTGTTCTTTATGCTAGCTTTTCACCAAAATGCTGATTTAAATTCCATTAAAGTTATATCATGGAATTCGTTTTAAATGTTCATAATTAATTTAACACGTTAAATTTTTGTTACTATGTACTAATAGATCAGCTAACAAATTTTCTAACGATGATAATTATATTTTTAAATATAGAGATTAAATTTAAATCAGTTAAATCATAAGTTTTAACTTGAAAAAAAGTATTAATATGTACAATAAAACTAATGGGAAATCTCAAGAAACAAACACCCCATTAGTATGTTCTTCGAAAGTCAAAACTTTTTAACGTTTGATTATGCTAAATAATTTAACTTATGCTCTTTAAAACGTAAGCGCATCTAGTGTAGTGGTATCATAGTACCCTCCCACGGTACTGATCGGGGTTCGGTTCCCCGGATGCGCAATGTTTTGTTGTTTTTTTTCTTTTTATTTTATTAAATTCTTATCCTTTTAAATAACGTAATCCAGCTTTGCCGCATGTTACAAAAGCCAAAACTTAAAATTTAAGAATATTCCCAAAATGTATTTTATTTAATACCACTATAAAATCAAGATTCTCTCTCATTCTAAAAAAGAAAAGAAAAAAAGCAAAATTCTCTTCCTCCGAGTAGATGCTAGAGAGTTATTACTTCAATTGGTTAAAGTACCTATTTTTGATCAAAAATTGATGGATGATATTTACATCATACAATACTAAATGCTAGATAGTAATCATTGTAGAAAGAATTTTATTTACTTTGCATGACTTAAATCAAGGGATGTTTGATTGAATGTGTGGATTTTGATACCATATTTCGAATTCAATCCCTTAACATCTTTAAAAAAGTATCTTAGGACTCGAGCTCTGCCTAAGAATTGACTTAATCTTTAAATATTCTTCATGATACACCGTTTAAAATGTGTTTGAAGAATATATATTTTTTTCTTTTTCTATAATTTCAAAGACCAAACAAAGAGGCTACGCAGACCCAGGACAATTGAAGAAGGGTTAGAATTTATTATATTTCCAACCTACTTAAATTTGAAAGATTACCCAAAGGTAAACTACGGTTCATTAACATTAAAAAGAAAAATCAAATTCATCATTATTAAAAAAATTACTTTTCCAACCAAACAATACAAATATCTCTTTTATAATAATATCTCTCTTCCAAAATTGAACTTAAGTTATAATAACGAATGCAAATCAAACACTTGCCAACCAATCTTTAATATGATTCTCAACCAACCCCGCATCCCTTCACCTCCCCCAGGATTGGTTGTGTGCCATCATCTCCCACCATTTTCTATGTATAAGAGTTAAGCAGAAATAAACATAGGCACAAGAGAGCCTTTATCTCAAGATTGATTAACTAGTTATCCTATCTCAAAGCAGACTAAAAAAATGAAAATAAAAATCAATTATTTTGAATTTGAAATTTGGTTATTCACCATGTACGAGCATTCCCACTAAGCATCCACGACTGAGTGGTTAATGCACCCAACTCCTGACAATTTTACGTAAGGCAGAATTTGGTTTATTGAGGGTGATAGTGGAAAAGTTTATGTAAAATATGAGCAACATCAAATCCCTCTAGAGCTTAGGGTTCTTTCAAATTCCTATGTTCATCCTTCATCTTATTAGAATCCAACAAAAAAATGTTTCGATCCATATAGACTCAGATGATGAGTCAAATTATCGAATCTCCATCATCATTTTCAGCATATTTCAGCATGCCCCATGGTGCTATCCAAAAGCAAATTTTGATCACAGTCATCACTTAGCTCCCTGTAGTTTCAGCTTAAATTTCCGAGCACTAAATGAATGATTAATCAGCTCCTAGGATTAACATAAAAAATATCAGAAATGAACTTCAAAAAATTAGCTAACAGGTAGAAAAGGAGGAATTTATTCCAGTTACTCTAGGGTAGTTCAAGTTGAAAATGATGTTTCCTTCAGACCCTAATGTACTTGTAAACAAAAATTGAGATTAGAAACAGAGGTGGCTAGATCCGGCCGGGATGAAGGAAGAGACAGCAGTATTGACAGAGGCATCATTTCCTTGGCATTGGCTCAAATCTACCCAGCGTCACAGCAAAAAAAAACATGGATCATCGTCGAAATACTTTTATCCAGAATCGGAAATCTAGTTGAAAATAACAGGCTTGACTGTTGAGGGAAAGCATCTTAAAGATCCTTGAGTATCACCCTAAACCCTGACAAGTATGGATTTATGGTTAGCCAAAAAGGGAAAATACGGGACTTGAATTAAGTATTAGATCTCCATATTTAAACATAAAACAAGAAAACAACACATTAACTGTTCTCTTTAAGTTCTGGGATATCTTCTTTTTCTTTTATTTTAAAGAAATAAAGTTATGTTCATGATAAAATTTACAGAGAGTAAAACAATAATTCCTCCACTAAAAATGAAGAATCGAATTTAGAATAGATGAGCCCAGAGGATTTCCGCAGATATAGTTTTGTTATGGAAGTGAGTAGACGACAATAGAATGATCGTCACCAAAAGACCATCATGGCATGGACAGATACAATAAAGCTTGGATTACAAGAACAATTATAAAGACATTTTTCAAGTTGAAAACGACATAACTAACTCATATAGTCATATTTGTCCAAAGGATGTTTTGGTGCCGTAATATTCTAGAGCAGTGATTTGGCTGAGCTAATCTTTCACAGTTACACTGTACAAGTTCCAGTTGCTTTCGCAAATCCACAAAGTCTACGAAAATGCTCAAGGCCACACTTTTAATGTCCATTATAAATCTTAGCTTGTGAAAAACGTTATCTTAAAATTGAAAGAAAGTATATTAGAATCAACAATCAAGGGACAAGATAGCCAACCAAAAAAGTCAACTACGCACCCTTTTGTTTTCGAGATGAATCCAAGGGATATACATCAATTGAATGAACTAGAGGTCCAAAACTGAACTATCTCCTTCACCTAGAAGTCAATCACTTCTGTTGTATTCTTAAGTTAATTAATCCCACTTTTTCATTTCAAAAACTCAAATAATATCCTCCTTGGTTAATCCTGAATATGATGAAGAGAGAAATTAAGAACAAGATAAAGATTAAAGAGAAAAGCATACTAACTAGCAAGATTTCTTTCAGGTTAGTTACAAGTTTACAATACAACGACATACACAAGCGGCAATCCTAATCTCAAAGCAGGTGCCTATATCTATATACATGCTACACTGTTGTACAGACAAAAAAAATTTCAAGTCCTCAAACACAATGCATAAAACAGAAGTAAAGATGTTATTACCCGATCCAAGGCAAATATTTACATCCATGATCCATTCTATTTCGGTTATGTCCCACTTACTCAATCCAAAATTCTATCTCAAAGAAATTCCCTTTATTTTTATCACATAGTCATCAATGACACTTCAATCTAGAAGTTTAATTTAGAAGGATTTACATTTATTGACATTTCATTTTCCTAAAACCACGTGTACTTATAGTAATAATTATACTTTTCTCTTCTCAAATGCGATAAAGCAGCATCGTTAGAAAGTTTTGTCCCTTCCATTATTGTTACAGTACAGAGCAGAGTTGTGACCCGCAGAGAGGGCAAAACCTCACATCATAATTGTATTCACAGAAAAATCAATTTATCTATCCAACATTGCTATCATAAATGATACAACTCCGATATACTGATGGTGATCTACAAGTAAAATTCCGAATAGATCTAGAAATTATAGAATATAACAAACTAACCTGAGATCACTCGACGACCTTCTGTACCGCATCATTAGGAGTTTCTGAGAATTGATGATTCAACATCTGCTTCTGATGCTGTTGCAACAGAGAACGGCGCTCCATCTCCCGCCACTTGTTTACCGCGATGGCGAAGACAACTGATAACACATTGAATGGAACGATAAATAAATAGGAGAAAACAGAATTTGAAGACAGAGAAGAAAAGTGATGAATCGAAGAAACTTACATCCGGCGCCGGCGAAATAGAGAAAACGGAGAACCTTAGGACCTGCCGGACCGGAAACCTCTTCTCCCGCCATCTGCTTCCTCCTTCAGGCCGTCTCCCAGAGATCTCAAGGTCAAAATTCGGATTTTACACCCTCGCAAATTATGGGGAATAAACGTTGTTTGTTTTTATATTTAGGATTAAAAAAAAAAAAATCCTAATCTTCGAAATAGGTTTTGTGGCTGAGCGAGAATGGTAATTAATTGAAATAAAATTGACCTGTGAGATTATTATTATTATTATATACTTCGTTTGCCAAAATTATTTGGTAAAATGCTCCAAAATTATAGTTTTTTTTTTTGGGTTAAATAATGGGTCAGGGTAGAGTTTAATTTTAACTGCTAGTAGCATAAAAAATATATAATAATAATAATATTATTAATTAATTAATTAACTGCTCGGATTTTAAGTTATCTTAAAAAAACTTTTTTTTTTGTTTATATAAGATTTTTGGAAGGGAAGCCTCAATTTTTGTATGTTGATCGTGAAAAGGGAAAGTAAAAGTATAAAATATGTATATATATATATATATAATAGCCTATTCTAATTTCTAAATAAATTAACCGGTAGGTTTTTAAGTTTCTCATTTCTAAATTTATTGAGAAAGCTACAGATATGCCGGTAGAGATCTCAAACACTGGACATAGGAGTAGTAAGTAATATGTTTATGGCATACATTAGCACCATCGAACCACAATATAATTACAAAAAAAATATGCACACAATATATAATTTAACTAACAGTGCCTCACATAGAAATAAAGAAACATAAACAAAAAAACGAAAAATTGATCCATTTTTCTGGAAACTGTTATGGATGAGAAAATCTCAATTCTCTGGATATATCCTATATTCATATCAAAAGGAGAAGATCTCCTAGATTCAGATAATCAGATTTTCTAAATGTATCACACGATTCGAATTTCACAATCCTAAAGATCAGATTTAACTCCTATAAGTAAGGAAGTAAGTCTAACCCTGAAGATTGGTGCGAGTTCGGCGGAACCCAAGAGGCCAAATTTCTACATCAACATAAACGTTTATCAAAATTTAGAAATGAGAAACGGGATTGGTTACAAAATATGTCTATTTGAGAAATAAAAACAAGAAACTGTAAACAGAAATGAATCCTAAACCTGTGAATAAAGAAGTTAAATGAAGAATATTTTCTTAATACAACTTAAACGCTTAAAGTATAACTCAAAATCAATCAATTCTATAAATTTTTTTAGAATAGTAAAAATCCAAAAAAAGAAAAAGAAAAGGCAGAACGAAGTACTCAGTGAGGGGAGCATCTTTGTGAAGAGTGCAAATGGCCTACGAGTGAGTCATCTCAACATGAGTTTACTATCGCTTTGGCATCATCCAACATGAAGTATCACAAGTTCTAATACTACTAAAAATTCTTTATTGGAACTTCTCTTTTATTTACAAAATAGGTTCTTTCTACTTCTTATTTACAAAATAGGTTAATTAAGTTAACCTTTCATCTCTATATTCCATTAGATTTTTTCAAAAAGAACATTACATTATAAATAAAGTGAAGATGATATACACATGAACTATATGGAAGTTTGTATTTATATTGTTAAGCTGAAAAAATTTTGCATCTATATTGTGGTGGGTTGGTATCAATTTTATTCTTATACTTACAAAAGTCTCATTGTCATATTTAAACTTAAATTTATTTAATTTTTATTATATTTCATTTATCCAAGTACCATTTGGAGCATTAAATTAAAACACCTACATGAAATTAAGCTTGTAGAAATAAGGAAAATTTTCATCTTTGCCCTATGACAGGAAAAAAAAAAGTTTACCTCTATCGCAAGAGTTTAATCGTTGAAGTTTAACTTAACGAGTCAATTTTGACCAACTTAAACATAACTCTAGTTAAAAAGACTTATTTCCGATCACAATGTAACTAAATCACACCAAATAGAACCCATAAAATACTCAAAATAAAATTGCTTAAAATGCAAAAACTGGATCATGAAAATATATGAACTAGTCACTCAATCAATAAAAACCGATCAAACTTAATACTAAACTGTTCGTGTAATCAAGCATTGCATCCACATGCGATCAAAACTTATATAGTTTAGAAACTCAATTAATTTAGAGTATTAATTCTACTTCTTGTTTAATTATAGGATTGACCACGACAAAATATAATTGAAGCAATTTAGACATGGATTTGATATATGGAAGTAGAGTTGAAAAAATTATTGAAGTGTCTAAGGCAAGGCGGCTTGGCCTACTCCAAATGCCAAACAGTGGAAAGCAATATCAATGGAGGACATTTGAAAATGGCTTTTAGAAAGGCTCTAAGAAAGTGACAATTAGGGTTCATTGAATTCCTTTCAATTTTGGAGCCCTTCAAACAACACCATAGTGGCCACAGTTTGGTAATTCCTCACACCTCCAAAAGAAGAAAAAGGGGGGAAAATGATGCTATATAGGAAAATTTGAGACCTTTTTTTTTTCCATTTTGTGCAAAAGATTGTGAAAATGACCAACTCCAAGTAATGTGTTTTGAGCCAATCCTAAAACGAAGTCATCTTCTAATCAGAAGTTATTCCTCTCCCTGTATTTTGGTACGTGAGATTATTCTCTTTGTTTATTAAACGCTTATGAATTCATACTTTTTTTAGTACAACAATTTGGAGATATAGGAAATCGAACCTCCGACTTTCAAGAAAGGAGTGTATGCTAATTACAGTTGAACTATGTTCATATTGACACTTATAAATTCATAATTGTTCTTTACTAGTTTTAGATTTTAATTTAATTTTGTCGTATTTGTAAGAGCATACGTATTAAAATGATGACATGGAAATAGTATTTTGCGTCTTTTTGGGCCATCCCTTACTCCAAAGTTAGCTTGAGAGGTGATGTTTTTTCTCCCACTTGACAACCAACATTATAAAAAGGTCTCATTCAGAATCCACGTGGAATAACCAACAATCTCTCCTTACACATTAAGCTTTCGGGTTCATTTCACACCATTGACCTAATATATCGTAGATCATTAGGTCAACTTATATGCTACCAACATGATCTTAGTTCATCGGTCATTAACACATATCTCCGACCAAGAGATCACGAGTTCGAATACCCATATTAATATTCATGGGGTTTCATCTCAAAGCCAATTTACAATGAGATGAGTAGTCCATGTCTATTAGAAACTTTTGTAAGGTTGATTTTCTTTTTAATGTTTTAACATACCCCTCAAGATCATGACTCTTTTGGTCTATTGATCTTGGTTGAATGCCATTTTTTGGATCGGGTACTTGTTTCAACGTGTTGGGCTCCGATACCATATTAATATTCATTAGGTTTCATCCGATGCCATAATTTTTTGGTTTGGAAATGGATTAAAAGCAAAAGGGAAAGGAAAATGAAAAGAAAGCACACCAAAATTCTTGAGACATTATTCTATACATGCATCTCCTCCAGCATATTCATCCATCAAGTAGCAGGGTAGTCTTCCACCCAAATTTTAAAAATAAAACTTTGATCATTGATATTCATATATATTTTGTGAAATCATTTATTCAAAACATGGTTTAGACTTTAGAGAGAAAAAAAATAACATATTGGGTAAGCAAGCTTACATATATATATATATATATATAAATCATATGTGTCTAAAAATTTTTAATTTAGAATGTTCAAAGCAAAGACATAATGTAGTACAACATGTATTGAGATGGAGATTCGAACTCACGATCTTTTTTATCGGAACTATAGGTGTCTTAATTAGTTAAATTATTCTCAGGTTGATATAATGTCATGACTTTCTAATCATATCTTAATTAACTAGTTTTTTAGTACAACATAGAGGGTGGGAGATCGAACTCACAACTCTATATATGTCAATTTTCGTTGAGCTACACTCACTTTAGCATGTCTTAATTAACTAGTTTTTTTTTAATGCAACAGAGAGAAAACAAAGCAAATTAGGAAATACAATCATGACATTCAAGAGTCACGACAGAAAGTAGTTATGTCGGCCAACCCTTCAACCAAACTCTATCTTCCTGTTGAAGAAGAGCTCTTCGTGCAAGCAGATGTGTCGCAACGTTGCCTTCCTTCTTAGTAAACGAGACGTAGCGCTGACCCACCACAGATAAATGTCGTTTCACAAGTTGAACTATGTTTATATTGACAAAAAAAATATCACATTTTTTCGGTTGAAAAATGAAACTCTTACATCATATTGTGTATGAGATAAGTGTTATATATATGCATGGGGCCTTCAATTTTATTTAATGCATTAAAATAGCGTGTGGGGTAGCTAGGCAGCCATTGACAAAAAGCAGCAGCCACAGCCCCCAAAGTGCTTGGAGATGAAAAATAAAGTAAAAAAAGAGCACACGTTTATAATTAAATACAGGTTGATTTATATCTCATTTAAATATACTTTTTTCTCCATTTTCAATGCTTCAACTTTCAAAAATTTTATTTTAGTCTTCGAATTTTACAAAAATAATCCTTTTTAGTCTTATTTCAACTTTTTTAAAAAACCAATCCATTTAATTTTTCATAATATAATTTTGTAACTTATATATCTTCTTTGATGTTCTCTGTCTCAGCTAATTTATATAGCTCTAATCTCTAGTTAATCCAAACTCACGTTAGCACACACATCTATATACAGTTTTCGAAGCTATGTTATCCATTTGTTAGAAGCAAAATTAAAAAACAAGAAACAAAATGGTTTAAATTTAGAAGGTAAAAAAGTACTTTTTAAAAGTTTATGGATCCGCCCGTTTTCATTTCATGGAAGTCTCCCACTAGGTTGGGGGTTCCAAACCTTGCGTTTCTCTAATCTCTCGTCTGAAGAAAGATTTTACAATTCTCTTAAGAATTGACCTAAACTAGCTGTTATAAAAACTCAAGAGACTCGAATTAATTCAAAGACTCGGGACCAAGGAGCGTAGCTGCTATTTCACCGAGAGTGAGTGACGATACTATGACTATTCTCTACTCATAAAAATCTCCCGACTCCTATAATATCTATTAAGGATCTTGAAAATTATTCAAAACTAAAACGAAAATAGAAAGATGTCAGAGATTTAATCCTTAATTTAATATAATCCCAATATT